GATCTGAGTTGATTTTCTAACATACATTAATATTTTGATAATCCTAAAATTCCAATTGATTATTAAGAAAAAATGAAATTGAAATTAATTGATGAATAAAGTACGTTATCGGAATTTAAATACGTAACTTGATAAAAAAATCTTTCCCACAATACCGAAATTGTCACGATGCTTTTACGCATTGCGATTCAGGAAGCTTTGTTCCCGATAATCACAAAGTCATTACGAGGATCATGCATACTCGCACATGTATATACGTAAATACAAAATAGATATTCGTTTCATATGCGTTCCTTGGGTGCGATCATCAACTTTGCTCGACGGTGAAAAAATCGCCTGGAATCATTGTGAAAGATCTACGCATACATATACATATATCAAGCGCAGAAGGATCGAACGCGGACCAAAACGAGAACGAGGAGGACGCTCGGCTGCCCTTATTACCTTCACCTCCACCGCCTCCGCGAAAGCAAAACGGAATGATGCGGAATTGAGCGGAAGTTGTTCGCGGCCTTCGCCGTGCTGACTTTTCGTCTCACACGCTCGATACTCGGTGACCAAAGTGAAACTTCGAGATTACAATCTACTGATGAGTTTACGAGCTGTTTATGAGGATATCGCATTTACTTATGATATTGATGATTTACTTATGATATTGAAAACATAATAATTGACATCATCGACGGAACATCTCATCGATCCGTATCAGCAAAAAAGGATTATCGGGATGAAGTCATCGCACGCGTTTTCGCCGAAAAGCGATCGATTCGTACTTCCCCTTGATACGAAGCGTGTTGCATGACGAAATAAAAGTTCTGAATCATAAACATTTCGTACCTGTTCATCGTTTCATCAATATCGTTGTGTTAACACTGCGTTACGAGAACGCGCGCGCTTTAGGTTTCAAAAAAATATCAATTCGACATCAGATTAAAATCTCTACCATGTACATTTGTGTATACCTGAATGCATACACAATCAGCAAACATTCCTTCATTTTCACACATGATAATGTGACAATGATAATATTATTAGATCAAAAAATATGAAGATCACTGATCACTGAAGATGAATTTTCTAACCACATGTAATCTTTTATATATACTATCTTGGTTATTTTTTTAAGGGGAAAGATGCAAAAATTCTTTGCTAAGTTCTCAGTTATGGCATATAATGATGATTGGACATGTAATGCTGGTATAATTATAAACTTATGCTAAG